CTTCGTTTAAACTCTTAATTATCCCAACAACTGAAGTATTTGTCGAAAGTAAGGAGACAATTCGCTCCCTGGCATAAAGCGACAGCCTCCCCATGCCTCAATGTTTAAAAAATATGTCAATATTTATAACTTAAGCAAACACGGAGTTTTATAATGACCCCTTCGGAAATATACGAATATTTACGAATGCTGACGAGTATATACGAAGCTTGCGGATCGGTTCGGTTCGGTTGCGGTCAAACCTCGGTTAAACCTCACGGTCACCGCGGTTTAACCTCAAAATTACCGCGGTATAACCTCGGTCAAACCTTTAAATCACCGCGGTCACACCGCGGTCAAACCGAGGTTCAGCCGAGGTTAAACCGCGGTTTTTGTTAGGTTAATTCTGAGCGGTACTGTATGCAGATCCTGATTTTGTTTGGTTATACTGCAGCTAACATGCTTGACACCCAGTGTGTTGGTTTGGTCACTGGAACGATCACTTCACGTTCAACTATACTTTATCCAGTTGCGATTTTATACGTGGATGCAGGGCCACTGGCACTCGTCGTGGCGGGTGGACTACAGGTTGCACTGTACTGTCAATTACAATCTTGTATGTGTCTGGTATTTTACCTAATGAACCATCAAATACGTCCTTGTATCCATTGCTGAATCTTTAGGGGGTTGGATACCAGAAGATAGGATGTCATAATGTCGCAGGTTTACAATACCCAAAGCTACGCTTCTATATACACACAGAATTGGTCGATAGTAACCATCAATAATATTGGATAGTTGCTTCTTTCCTGCATGCCATGATTAGTTGCCCTTTTTCCCGATGTTACACGTGGAGTTCATCTGTGATTAATCAACAATGCATGCTCATAAAATCCTAAAACTTTTACTAAAACTAAAGATACAAGAAAATGATTCCGATGTTCCGAAATTGCCCTTTGCAGGCATGTATAATGTGTTAAACAAATTTATTGATTATTTGATATTTCAGTTCCTCCACGAATAACAAGAGGTCCAAATGATACGACAATAAATGAAGGTGAAAACATCACTCTAACATGTGATGCTGAAGGCCCACCAAAACCTAAATTTACTTGGAGTATTGTCAGTGAGAGGGTCTCAATAAAAGAGAACATTAGTAATAACAATGAGTTGGAACTGAGAAATGTGAGAAGTGCTGGTGACTATAATTTCATAGTTACATGTCACGCATCCAACAAAGGAGGATGTAGTACAGCAAATGCAACTATAGAGATTTTGGGTAAGTTTCTTACAACTTAATTACAAGTATAAACTTTTAAGTTTCCGGATATAGTTAGCTACATTTCATGCACTGACTTCTATCATGCAGCAGATGGTGATCAACTAGCGGTCTTCATAGTGTTTCTTATGTGAGATCAACATGCAGGTCGAAAGGGAGCAAAGAGGGCCCACGTGTCCAATCACTGAACGGCTCAACTATAACTCGCCAGGATGTTGCCATTTTCGGAACCCTAGATTCTGAAATTTCCCTGGGGGGAATGCCCTCGGACTCATCTAACGTACTTTAGTACTATATAAAGGGGTGGTTTGTCCCAAGTTATATTTTGTCCCGGGAACCAAATGTCTCTGGGCCGTCCTGTCCCTATGTGAAGATAGCAAATTCTATCAAACTGTCATTCTTTTGTTATCTTGTTTTGTTTATTACCGTTATTATGTTTGCCATGGTGCGAAATAGAAAACACGTGGATATTTCTTCGATGACCATGCTGTCAATCACTTTAGTGACGTTCATTCTCCCACTCATAAGATTTAGCCATCAGTATATATTTTGTTCTATTCTTAGCAATACCAGTTCTTTCGTTGGTTGCATGACGATAAACACAGCGACGTGCATGGTTACGCTGTTGGTTTTAGGGGGGATAGATAGAGGTTCTTATCGTCGAAGTTATGCCGAAATATATATGTTATCGTCGAAGTCACATCCTATATATATATATATATTCAAAAACTCATTAATAATTCAGGAGCAAAACACAAAGAAAAATCATAAGCGTGGCGTGGTTTTATATGTGATAAAAAATCACGTTAATTTACATAAACTTTAGCTTTGATTTTCTCGGTTTAGACAAAGTTTATTTTAAAAATTACTTCGCC